AAAAAAAAAAAAAGCATAATCACTATACCATTATCACACCAAACAAAATGAGCACTATGTCTTTGTTATTATCTAACACTGAATCTGTATTCATTTTTTTCCCAGGTGTCTTAAAAATGTCATTTCACAATTGGTATATCTGAGTTCGGATCTAAAAAAAAGTCCACACATTGCATTTCTTTGATGTACTTCTAAAGTTTTGATTCTCAAACTGTTCGCTTTCCATTTGTTTGTTTTTTAATCCAGTGTATTTGTTGAAGAACACAAGTCATTTGTCCTGCAGAATTTCCCACATTCTAGATTTGGTGGATTGTAACCTCACGGTGTCACATGACATGGTTCTCTATCCCTGGCATTTCCTTTAACCTCACAGTTATATTTAGAGGTTCACTTTGATTCGGGTTTGGTTTTCTTTCCGGCAAGGAAACTTCACAGCCAACACAATTGCCTCATATTACAAGGCATGTGTGTCCAGGTGTCCCACTCTTAGTTATGATATTGATTGATAGGCTTGCACGGTGTCTGCCCAGTGCACCCATGATATAGTTCTTCATCCACTTACCATGGTTTTAGCAGCCATTGGCTCATCCCCATTCTGACGGTCACAAGCATTTGTTGAGGTACCTGTCTTGCAGGAGTGGTCAGCTTGGGAAGCAGCAGTCATGGCTGATGGTTAAAGGATTGCTGCTGGGCTCCTGGATGTTGGTTATCTGTTAATGCTGTCATCTCAGGATATAGAGCTATTGGTTATACAAATGGAACCAAATCCCTTTAGAATTTGAGAATTTGCTGTTCTGCGCTTCAAAGCAGGGGAACTTTACATTCTTAGGATAATATTTGATCCTTTCCTCACTGGATTCTTGAGTCTGTGTAAGTTTACAGAGACTTTGTTACTGGTTTGAGATTTGAAATTGTTATAGAGATGATCAAATATTCCTAATAGGAATGAATAAAATAATGCTTGCTGTTATATCAAAAGTATCTAGTTCTAGTTCCAAGTTTTATAAAATATTATTTGTTTGATATTGGGATATTAGTTTGACTGCTCTAAAACAGGCCAATGTAACAGTGGCTTAAATAAGACAAAAGGTTCCTTTCTCTCTTTTGGAAAGCCATGAGCCATGAGTTGGAGAGTGGGGCAGTTTGTTCCCCAAAGTCAGTGAGTCAGGCTCTCTCTATCAGTTACCCAGCCTCTGGGGTTGCCCTCCTCCACATGGTGAGCTCACCACTACATCATCCTGGCAGTGATAAGAAGAGAACAGGGAAGACCAGCAGCTTCTTTTAGGGGCCTGGCCTGGACAGGGTGTGTGTCACATCCTCTTACAGCCCATTGGCCATTGCTTGGTCATGGGGCCCATTTTTAGCTGCAAATCAGACTGGGATTAAAGGGTTATTAAAGGTCAATCAGTACTATTTACTGACTTCTCCAAGCCTCACTTTCCTCATCTGTGAAACAGGGATGCAAATGTGCCCCCACTCTTGTGGCTGTTAGATTTAATTGCATGGATGGTAGACCTGGGTCTAAGTCTTTGTTAGTTGCATAGCGGAAGCTAACATTTACCTAAACTCTCTGACCCTTCATAAAAATGAGGATTAAAATTATAGGGATCTTACAAGAGTTGAAATAAAAGGACATAAAAATGTACTGCCACGTAGAAGGTACACATAGGTAGTAGCTAACTGTTAAGCAGGCAGTGCGTAAGTTTTTAGGCTCCTGATGGGGAAAGATTATGATGCAAAGTGAATTCTAAGAGGACTGCTGCCAAACTGTCTAATCGCCTACAATCATCAGTCTGCATATTTGCAGTTGAATAATTGAAGCTGAGACATAAGCCAGTGCTTTCTGAAGAGATATCTGAGAGGTGTAGGCCCCAAGGTCATCAAAGGTACTCAGTAAAGATGCAGATTCCTACCCCTTCCCCTCTATATTCCCCACTTAGTCTCCTGAAATGGGATCTTTAGTTTCTTACAGAGGCTGACTCACCCTAATTTTACAAACACCTTCAGGGTGATCATTATCACACAAGTGTGAGATTCTGGATCTAATCTGCAGTACTTATTTGAAGTGTTTGAATACTTGTACAATACTTTCAAAGAAGAGTAATTCATTTTATCTGGCTTCAGAGAAATAAGATTAGAACTTTTGAGTTTTTAACAATAGATTATGGGATGGGATTTTCTTCTCAAATGGTTGCAAGTTCAAAAATAATAAATCTTTGCTTCACATCCTTTTTAGTTACTGCGAAACCAGAGATTCCCTGCATCCTATCATCATGCAGTGGAAACCGTTGTGAATATGCTGATGCCACACATCACTCAGAAGTTTCGAGATAACCCAGAGGCATCTAAGAATGCAAATCATAGCCTTGCTGTCTTCATCAAGGTGGGGACCTCCAGGGAGGAGGTGTCAATTATATGACTAAGATATTCTTTTTAAGCAGCTGGCTAGTATGGAGTAGTGCTCCAACAAAGTGGATGTCTTTTTTTTTTTTTTTTTTTTTTTTTGAGACAGAACCTCAAGCTATCACCCTGGGTAAAGTGCTGTGGCGTCACAGCTCACAGCAAACTCCAACTCCTGGGCTCAAGCGAGTCTCGTGCCTCTGCCTCCCAAGTAGCTCCACTAAGCCTGGATGGCATGTTTTTATGCTAAAAGATAAACTTATTTATAGTAAATACTGATTTAGGCTCGGCACCTATGGCTCAAGTGGTTAAGGCGCCAGCCACATACACCTAGGGTGGTAGGTTCAAATCCAGTCTGGGCCTGCCAAACAATAATGCCGGCTGCAACCAAAAAATAGCCAGACATTGTGGTGGGTACCTGTGGCCCCAGCTACTTGGGAGGCTGAGGCAGGAGACTCACTTGAGCCCAGGAGTTGGAGGTTGCTGTGAGTTGTGATGCCACGGCACTTTACCCAGGGGGACAGCTTGAGGCTCTGTCTCAAAATAAATAAATAAATAAATAAATAAACAAATAAGGATTTGAATTCTATTCTCCAAAATGTTTGGGCCTGAAATACTGAACTTTGTGGCTTGTTTTCCCCTGCAGAGATGTTTCACCTTCATGGACAGGGGCTTTGTCTTTAAGCAGATCAACAACTACATTAGCTGCTTTGCTCCTGGAGACCCAAAGGTAGTGTGGGTGTTGGCTACTGTTCTTCTATCTCTCTGACTCACATCTAGAAATCAACCTATTTCTCTCAGTTCTCATCAGAATTTTCTTTCCGTCCCAGAGGCACAACTCACTCCTCTCTTGGAAACCCTAGTACTTACTTCCTGTATAGGTGTGAGATATTAAAACAGAATGAGAAATAAACATACTCATTGATTTTTCTCTTAAAACCTGAAAGGACTCCTCAGACAGAAAACTGAAAGTGTATGAATTGTGATTCATAGTTTAACAGACAAGAGAATAGAATTAACCATCTAGCCTTTCTCTCCATTTTTTCCTAAAGCTCTGCCTTACCTTTTTTTTTTTTTTTTTTTATTGAGTGTGTCTATAATGATAAGCTGCCTGAAATCCTTTTTTGAAGAGGAGGAGCATAAATAATAAATGCCCTAGTAGTCAGTTGGGGACATTCTTTAATGAAATGTGTTCTCAGTTTTCAAACAAATCCTAAAGCCCTTTTAAAATCTGTAAGATGCAACAGAGTGTAGAGTTCCAAGAGGGTTAAGAAGCTAATGACTTGCTGTGTTGTTTCTAATGGGTTTTTTAGGATCCTGTATTAAAAAATCCCTGTGATGCATTTAATTTATGAGTAAACATATTTTCCTACAGACCCTCTTTGAATACAAGTTTGAATTTCTCCGTGTGGTGTGCAATCATGAACATTATATTCCTTTGAATTTACCAATGCCATTTGGAAAAGGCAGGATTCAGAGATACCAAGGTAATCCATCTTTTTGTTTATAAAAAGAGCCATTTATTTTTAGTAAGAAAAGATAATTCGTATTAGCATATTCTAGGGTTTTTTTATTGATGAATTTTTCCTATTTCCATTTTTTAAAGTACTGATAAAATGTTGTAGGAGAACTTACTTTCAGCAAACTTAGACTACAGATCATGCCAGCATGACTCTTGTTTTCATTGAAAAAATCCTTTGCTTAAACAATGAAAATCCATCTTACTTATTATAGCTTATTTTTATTTGTTTCACCTTTCCTTTTTTCTTATGAATTAGCTTTTCTTTCACCAACTGTGGAGTCACTTGACACTCCTGTAGGTAGGTGTGGGTGTGGTGCTGCTTTCTTGCATTTTCCTCCCTTAGAAGAAAAAGAATGCAAGTGATTGCCAGACGCTTCCATGTGCTATTCAGTTAGGCATTTCCTGTAGCTTTGATCAATTTTTAAACTCGTGATAAGCCAGTGAATTTGTTTTCACTGTAGCTGAGTCATAGCTATGATATCCCAAGGAGGAATCTGGTTTTGTGCCCCTGAAGTTACTGGGTACTCTAGGGTGTTTCTTTCAGAAATAAACAAAAAGCCCTGCTTCTTCGCCCAAAATGCATTGTTCTGTCATCTTCATAGCCATTGTCCGTAGAGGTAGTAACCTAAATCACAAGCTACATGGCCTTTTCACATGCTTTTCATGTTTGCACGTTGAGTCTTTATTAATGTTCTGTATTCTCTTTGAGAATTGGCAGAAATTTCTTTGTCTTCAATGAGTAAATCGGATTAAACAAATCGCAGTGCTCAGTCAGGTCTGTCATGTAATAGTCATTGAATTTAGTGCCTTGAATATACTCAGGTTTATTTGTGCTAAAGGAAAGAAAAAGTAGAAGGATGCCAGCAAACTGTTAATGACACCTGAATCAACCAACCACCTCTGAAATTCAGAGAGAAACACACAAATGTATTCAAAGACAAATAGCTTCCACTAAAACAGACCTATGGATAGTACCTTTTAAGAAGCAAGAAGAGTTGTAGCCCTGGAGTTGGCCTTCATGCATCCAACAAATGTTTACTGCAAATGTTGTCCAACTGCAAGTTACAGTTGTGGGCAACCTGCATGAAAGTCCTTGGCTAGTCTACATAAGTGAAATATGTAGAGTCTTAGAGACTGGTAAATGCTAAATTAAGACAGGGAAAGGGGAACCATTTGCGATAGGGCAGCCAGGTAATAGCTGGAAGGGAGCAGGTTATGCTGAGTTTTGAGCACATCAGCAAACTCTGGATCTAACCCTCCTACCTTGCTCTCCACGCTGCAGACATGCCCACTTAACTCCTAGCTCCTCAAATGTGGCATGCCTGCTCCATGGATCCTTCACCTCAGTGGTCCCCTCCCTGGGGAACCCTCATCTTCTTCTGCAGCCCAGACACACTATATCTCCTATGTGGGGCCTCCTGCATTCTCCTCATCTAGCTCCCCAAGTGGAATTAATTGCCCTCAGATCCTAGCAGCATCTCTCACCTCACAGTCACCTGTACTTGGGGACTGTGACTTTTTTCCTTTCACCTTTTCACCTGAAGAGCTGAGGGCAACGGTTTATTGGCAGGGCTGCATAGTCAGTGTGTGCTAATGCCCTTCTTCCCCTGTGACGTGGCCAGGCCAAATCATTCATCCTTAGAACTGAGTGCAGTGGAGATCCCACAGTTCCCCAAAAGACCCCTGTGAGCTCTCAGGAGACTTCCAAGGTATTTGGTAGCAAGAAGGGCTGCCCTGGACGGGTGGGTACAGGTCATAATTTGCCTTACTGCCCTGAGAAGAATAAATGATTTTTATCTCTCCTTCTCACTTCCTCTCCCTGGAGAGAGGAGAGAGGATAAGAACGCGCTTTCATGCACTTACGCTTGCATACAAGCACACACACATGCGTACAAGCACAGGTGTGTGAGCACACACACACTTAAAGTCATTTTCTTCTAAGAGACTTATGTGAATTTAAGCTGTTAACTATAGTTTGAATAAACTGGGCATAATGATCACCAACAGTGAACATAATTATGCTAGAAAAATGGATGTTCTTTCCCTTCTTCTCCTAAAGATTTCATAGAACTTGGGTCAGTGTTTTGGGTGCATTTAGATGTAACTAGTTGATATGGGATGAAAGTCACAGGAGTGGTGTATAGATGGCCTTTAAGAATGGAGTCAGTCTAACAATTCAAATCTAGCTTCGGCTTCCTGAACTGTGTATTTCAGCTTTAGACTGATGTTTAGCTGCTCTTATTACCCCCAGAAGAGTCCTGTTTGCTTCCGTCTCTTTTTCAGGACAGCTTTTCATTTTGTCATTTAGCTTGTTGATAATTTACTTGTTGGTTTTGGTGGTTTGTCCATTTTAGTTGTAGTTTATATTCCTTTTTTGTTTTTAGAGGTGTGGAAGTATTAAAAGGACATTTTAGGAAATACTGCATTAAATAAGTTTTTACTTAGGGATAACAGAATAAAAAGGTTATATCTGTTAATTCATTTATCTTAAACATATCAGGTTTTAATGTGAATATAAGATCAGTAATGATCAGGCAATGGATAAATGAACTCAGGTAGTAACGAAAATTTCATTCTTTGCTTAATTACATGTTTGTTATGCTCAAATTACTCTTAAATAATTCTTTGAATGAGTATATCTTTATTTTTTTACTTTGTCAGTAACAAACTTATATTTGTAATATACCATATGCTATTCTCTATTCTAAAAATCATTACTTAAAACTATTTACTGATTTAATTATGTAGGATGTAATATGTTCCAAAATCAAAATCTAGTGTAATTATTTGTATTTAAATTTGGTTTCCATTTAAGTGTTTAGTGTGTTAAGAAGTATAGCAACATGTTTACAATCAGTTCTCACCCCTTTGAAGTGTCATCATCTGTCGACATGTACAGGGTGGGCTGAATGCTGAGGGTGGGTTTAGTTTTCATGTCATTCAAAGGGTGCTACATTGTCCCACTAAAGTTGCTTCTGTCCTCATTTCAGACCTTCAGCTTGACTACTCGTTAACAGACGAGTTCTGCAGAAACCACTTTTTGGTGGGACTGTTATTGAGAGAGGTGGGGACTGCCCTCCAGGAGTTCCGGGAGGTCCGTTTGATCGCCATCAGTGTGCTCAAGAACCTGCTTATAAAGCATTCTTTTGATGACAGATATGCTTCCAGGGTGAGTGGGCCCCAATGGCAGGAAATGGGCATTGATAAAGTCCTTTATCTTAAGGAGTATAAAGAAAGTAACCAACTAAAAAGTTCGGGGTAACAAAAAAGAGTTTTTTTTCTATTTGGAGAATAACATCAAATATCTGTCTTTATAGGAAGGCTGCAAGCAAAGGAAGGTACCCAGTGCCAACTTCAGCTGTCATCAAGCTCTCTGAACTATAGCACAAACTTACCCTGTGTACCTTCCTTTCAGAGCCACCAGGCAAGGATAGCCACTCTCTATCTGCCTCTGTTCGGGCTGCTGATTGAAAACGTCCAGCGGATCAACGTGAGAGAGGTGTCGCCCTTCCCTGTCAACCCAGGCAGTGTATGTAAACGTGGTCATAGTCATGGCCAGTATCGGGTCCTAGGGCAGTCGGAACACAGAAGAAATCTATTCTGTCACAGTCAGGAGGCCAGAAGTCCACCATCAAGTTGTCAGCAGTGCTGGCTTCTCCTGGAAGCTCTAAAACAGTGGTTCTCAACCTTCCTAATGCTATGGCCCTTAATATAGTTCCTGTGGGTTGCAACCCACAAGTTGAGAACCGCTGCTCTAGGAGAAGAGTCTGTTCCGTACTTCTTTCCCAGATTCTGCTGGTGCTGGCCATCCTTAGTGCTCTCAGGCTTGCCCCTGTATCACCGTGGCCCCTGTGCTCTCCCTCGGCCAAGTCTGTGTCTCTGTGCACCTTCCCCTCTTCTTGTGAGGACACCAGTGATTAGATTTAGGGCCCACCTAGTATGATCTCATCTTCACTTTCATCATAATTACATCTGGAGAGATCCTATTTCCAAATGAGGTCCTCCTGAGGTTCTAGGTGGACATGAGTTTTAGGGGGACACCCCTTAACCCATACACATCCCCCTTTATTTTGCCAGTAAAACCATATATTCCACAATGCTCCTGGTGAATTCCATTTCTGGCTAAGATGGGGTCAATCAGTAAACCTTCAACTCTTAGTAAAAATCAGTATGAAACTCCTGCCCTCCTGATGCCCCATAAGGCCTTAAAACTTCCATTTTTGTATTCAGCAAAAATTCATGGGGGGATAGACAGAAAACATGGTGTAGTTGTAACCTGTGTCCTATAAGAGCTCATGGTAACCCCAGGCCTGGTGGTAACGTTCTCTGCCGTCTCAGAAGCCACCTGAGGGCTACCATTCTCTCTGATTGTAGAATTAGTAAGGCTACTAGCCGGGTATGTTGGTGCACACCTGTAGTCCCAGCTCCTCAGGAGACTGAAGCAAGAGGATGCTGAAGCCCAAAAGATTGAGGTTGCTATGAGTTATGATGATGCCATGGCCTTCTACCAGGGTAACAGAGTGAGACTCAGTCTCAATGAATGAATGTGAGGCTTGATGTCAGTGGTACCAAGGTGAAGGACAGGAAGCCCTGCCTCCACGAAGTGACCTCCTGCATCTACATTGTCTTTGTGCAGGCTTTTAAATATGTGTGGGAGAATAAGTTGACTGGAGGAATTACCAGTGTCTCAAAACTTATGGCTAGAGATCATTTGATCTTTTATTCAGTCTTTGATACATGTTAATTTGTCTTGTTACTTAAAAAGGATTCTTGGGATCATCTCATAATTCAGCTTTTTCAAAGGATGTTTGCTGTCAAATTTCTTGTTACATTTCTTTTTCAATTAGAAAAAGCTTTTTAAATATTAACCTATAACAATTTTAATTATTAAAGTTTATAAGCATTTACCATCTAAAAAAACCTGCAGTCTTTCTCATTCTAAGCTCTTTTTCTTGGCCTCAGAGGGATATATCTGCAATTAATTTGGACAGATATTACCAGTTCAGGAGTTTCCCTTTCCCTTTTATCCAGGAGTCATGAAGTGGCTTGGTGGTTGATCTTTCCACTTTGTCATTATGGTGTATATTTGGGGGGAGTTCCATGCATGCTTCTGTCCCTTTCCCCACCACAGTGATGAATTGTTCCATTTTTTACACTGCCTACCTCTTCACCTTCTAACACATTCCTAAATCAGGTTAGATGAGCCATGTCTGTAGTGTGTGTGTACGTGCTGCTGTTCTCTACCCTAAATGCACCTTGTGGATCTCACCCCACACGTTGAGTCTCACACGTGTATTCTTTAACCCTCTGCTTTTCTAACTGGAGTCACTAATTCAGGGCATGTGATCTCCCTGTACTGTTTCAATCCTGAGAAAAATGAACACAATTTATGATCTTTCTTTGGCTTTTACCCTTTTTGATTTAACTTCAAAATGAACGATTCCTCCACTCTAAAGTGTGAGGAGACTCATGACACTCCAGACGTCTAGCGACTGCCATTGCTGCTGTTGGGATTCCCTGTTGCTCATTTGAAAAGATTTCTAATGTGAGAGAAAAGCCAGACTTCCACTTAGAGGGAGCAGAGGAGGCTTTCTCTGAGGGAAAAAAATGCCAAAATAATCTAAGGAAATGCAAGGTGTCTGAGCTCTGGAGAGGGAAAGGTGCTAGAAGTGCCAAGAGGAAGAGACAGTGACCATGTGGAACCTAATTTCTCTGTCCCCCCAGCTCCACATCCCAAGCCACTGCCACCTCTGTCCCGTCCTCCTTTAGTCCCTTGCCCATGCCACATGGCTCTTCTCCCACTCTGGCATGTTGAGCACATCATGCTGTTCCGCCTCATTCATGCCCTTGGCCCTCACACTTCCAACAGTGATTAAAGAGTCTTATTTTAGTCATCTTTGATTATTTCTTCTCTTCCTCCCTTTGACAGACTGGGAAGGATGAATCCCTCGCTTTACCAGCTGTGAATCCACTGGTGACGCCGCAGAAAGGAAGCACGTTGGATAACAGCCTGCACAAGGACCTCTTGGGTGCCATCTCTGGCATCGGTAATGCACAGTGCTCTTGTCCTCTCTCCAGTGTCACTCTAAAATGTGTCTTTAATCCAATAATTCCATAGTTCATCAACACCACACATTTGCAAACTTGGACTTCGAAGTCTGAGTTTCTGCCTTGAATATTCTTTTCCTGGTTGTGATACTTAACAACTGAAATCCCGTAATCATATACCGAAATATCCATCCCAAAATGCTTATGAGTCCTGAAGATAGCACATTTAATCACTTGCTAGTGCTGTTTACTTTTTGTTTAATGCTTTTTAAGTTGATTTGCCATTTTAAATCTTAATGGGAATGTTTATGCTGTTAGAAAAGGAGTATTTTTGCAGGTGTTGGGAAGGGAGGATTTATTTGTAGTGTTAGTGATTTAGATGAAATGTGACATATAGTACTTCCTGAAGGAAATACTGGTTTGTGGCTAGAATTTTATCTTAAAATTGGTTTTCAAAAGTCTTCTATCTTGCAATATTTTTTCTATCTGAAATAATGAAAAAACAGCTTCCCACGGGGAGGAAAACAGACAACATAAGTCAAGATTCAAATAGTGTTTCCTTCAGAAGAAAATACCTGAGAAACTGAACCTGTTAGTTACTCTAATTGAGCCCCTGTGCTAGCTCCTTCTTAAAGATAGTGTCACAAAAATATATACTGTCACAGATGTTCACAGACTTCCTCTGTCTTTATTTCTACCTATTTTTACTTCACTTTGAGTGACTGAAGCATTCTGTTAATACTATCACTAGTGGTTAGACTATCCACTAATGGGCTCATTAAGGAAGGGCAGTCCTTTGACCTAATTAATTTGCAGAGCTGTGATGCATTGTGATTTTATGTCCTTAACTTCATGTGGTGGTGGTGGTGGTATTAACATGCCATTTCATGTAGGTGGCAAAACTGGAGACAATTTAAAATCAGCCCTCATGAATGCCCGCATTTATTTAACAGTGCTAATACCAGTCGTTAATCTTATTTATGTGTATTTTTCATACTTATAATCCCTTCATTTGGTGAGATAAAGATTAAATATCATGTGTAATGTTTGGAGGAGAGCCGGGTGCACAGGGAATGCTCAGCAGATGTCGGCTGCTGGCAGGAGTTTCCATTTGCCTTCATTCTGGGCCTTCATCCCTCTGCCTCCCCTACTGCAGATGTGGAAAAGGGACCTTCCTTGGAGAGTTTGCTCTGTGGCAGTTCATGGCAGTAGCTTTAAAGTCAGACAGATGTGGCTTTGGAGCTCAACTTGACCATTTACCAGTTGCTGTGGCAGGGTCTTGTCTATCCTCTTCACCCTCCATACCCACATCTCCAAAACAAAGAGATGAAGAGCTGAGACGACATGTATGGTGCTGGGCAGAGAGTGGACTTGGAAGAGTCAGAACTCCACTATAGTTTGCTATTTCCAAAGAAGCCTCAAATGCTTCTTCTGTTTTGACTCATTTGGCCATTCTTTGATTCAGAATTCACCTTGTCAGGATTTGGATTTCTTGAGCACTTAGAGTGGAGTCATTGAGCACCATTAGCATGACAGCCTTCAGTTGCTCTGTGTTCATGGTGCAGTTATGAAAAGTACTCAAGACTAATTTAATCCCTTTTCACTCTTTCTTGAATTTCAAGATCCAAATTCACTTTTCATAAGAATTCACCACGATAGGTTTATTTGTACTCAGGCATTATCTACATTTCTTATCTTGAAGACTTAAGTTCTTATTCCCTTTTAGGAGCGCCTTCTAGAGACACCTCACCTTTTCACTGGGTTTACTGGTTTTGTTCTGGTGGCTTTAGCAGCTCTTCTCTGATGGTCTGGGAGTTTCCAACCAACTTTAGCCCTTGTGCTTGTCCTTCTCAAGCAGACTTTCTCCTTACAGCTCTGCTTACAAGAAGTCCTGTTCCCATCCATGTTGAGGATGTGTTCTCACAGTTATTCACACGTCTTGGGAGCATGGTTCATGGGAATTTCTAAAACTGATTCAGTGTCTGGACTCAGGTTACATTCATTGTGAAAGACATACCCCCCAAGGTTCAGTGTTCCCTTTTTCACCTCCTCAGCATATCACATCAGGCTGTTGGGACCAAGGGGTAGGGATGAACTAAACTTTCCATTTTACTCACATGTTGTTTAAGGTCTTTGAAAGCTGTGCACTGGACCAGGGTATTAACTATAGATACATACAGACCAGGAGCAAACACACTGATTTGATATATCACATTTCTGTTTGTTTGCCTTAAATTAGGACTCTAGTTCTAGAATCAAGCCTAAAACCTTGAGAATTAATGGTCATATTCTTCTTCATTAAGGACCTCTTTCTCTTGAACTCTTTCTCTTGAGTTCTGTGTTGACGTTAAATATGAAAGATAGTTATATTAGAATTGTAATTTGGTCACAGTGTATGTTTGCTTTCTCAGTACAGAAAAAGGCTCATATTTCTTTATAGCAGTGGTTCTCAACCTGTGGGTCACAAACTGTATTAAAGGGTCATAGCATTAGGTTGAGAACCACTGCTCTATAGGGTTTTCACCTGTTCTTTAGGACATTCACACTGTTTCTATCGTGGGACGGGGAGGGGTCTATGTGTTCCAGACTTCACTTATGTTTTTGAATTCCTCTGGCCCTTCCTTTCTCGGTCTTAACACACTGACTCCATGTCAGGGATAGCAGTATGTTTATCTGAGTGTTTGCTAGGACTTACAATGTTGGGGCTGCAGGTCTTCCTTTTTAGATGAAACCATCTTGATATTGCCTAAGAAATGATTGATTTGTGCCTTTATCCAGCAAATTTAAAAGTACACCTGAGTGACTTACAAAAATAATTTTGGTGCAAATGAGGGACCAGCTATACTTATTTATTTATTTATTTTAACTTAGAAATACCTCAGTCCTTAGTAGCTCACTTGCCTAGTGAAATCTGAAAATGATCAGCCTGTCGTGAGGTGGTATGTAGCAGCATCTTCAGCTTGGGTCTGGGAGGATGTGCTTCTATCTGCCCTGCAGATTACCAAAATCCCCTCCTGCCATCTGTGAAACCAGCCAGGCCTTTCTGCTGGAAGCATTCCCTTTGGTTCAGCACAGAATGAACACCTCCAAAGAACCATTTTGAATTACACGATTAACTTAAAATTTTACCTAAAGCGGGAAGTCACTTATCTCTTATCTTTAAAAAGTACCAAGGTTGGGGCAGTGCCTATAGTTCAAGGAGTAGGGTGCCAGCCCCACATACCAGAGGTGGTAGGTTCAAACCCGGCCCTGGTCGAAAACTGGAAAAAAAAAAAAAAAAGCACCAAGGTTGGGACTAATTTCTGCCTTCAAATGCTATTTTTTTATGAACATCACAAATTTTATTTCCAAATCCTATTTCCTTTTTGCCCATAACAGTTTATAGCAGAGAGTCCCGCCTGTTCAGTGTTCACAGCATCCTTATTTTTTCATGGTGCCCCCAGGCCAAAACTAACACCTAATAGTTCTGTTTATTAGGTTCTTATGGCCAAATACCAAGTGTTTATATCCTAACAACTTCGTAGGCATTTGGAAAAACATTAAATTTTTAAAAAATTTTATTTCATTTTTAATAACCAGAACTATTATTGCTAATGGGTATGTGTATACATGCCTTTTAGACCCTCACACTGTCTCATACTTTGGAATCAGAGTGTCCACCATCTTCCTCATTTCCTGCTCCACGTTGATTTTCACCCAGCACTTTTTACCATAGATACCCAGCTTCATAAAGATAAAACATCATCAAGAAGAATATAACACTAAGTCTGAAACTGCAGTTTCTGGCCATTGTCAAGTATCATTGGGTTTCCCTTGAAAATACAAAATATCCCATGATAACCCTCAGAGTTTACTGGGACACCTCAGCTTAGAGTTTGAATACGCACATTTGTTGTAAGATTTAATTTTTTATTTAATAGTTGTAAAAGTTGGATTTACCTGTTAATTCTTTTAAAGTCTTCATTCTATCTCATTGTGAAACAGTGCATGCCCTTCTAGTCTCAGGAGTGAAAGGCAGTTTCCAATAAATGAATTGCTATTCTATCTTAATGTTCTAGTCCCAGTTTCCCTGTATCTCATCATAAAGTAAAGTAATTGACTGCAACTTTTCAGCCAACTTCCTAACAGAAAAAATAAATGCCATAAAAGCAGTTTCCCTTAAAGGCCAGTACTTACCTTTATTTTGGTCTGTCTCAGCATAACTTTGGTCTTGGCATAATTTCTGTTTAGCTTCTCCGTATACGACCTCAACTCCAAACATCAACAGCGTGAGAAATGCCGACTCAAGAGGGTCTCTCATAAGCACTGATTCGGGTAACAGCCTTCCAGAGAGAAATAGTGAGAAGAGCAATTCTCTGGATAAGGTAATTTCTTTTCACATAACACAAATGTTTCTTGTAATTAATGGATTTAGCCCTCTACTGTGGACTAACTTGCTTTATGTTGTAGTACCTTGTTAAGTGTGACCTTTTGTTTTTTGTAAATGACTCCACCAACCTTGGGTAGATGATCAGAGCTTTATCTAAAGTTGGGACCCATTTCTTGAAACTCTCTGATTCCCATTTCCAGGATTTCAGACAAGGGCTGTGTTTACCAGGCATCCTCAAACTATGGCCCACAGGCCACATGCAGCCCACCTAGGACATTTATCCGGCTCACCAGGTGTTTTTCCGCCACTGCCTGTCCTGCTTAGCAGCCAACTCCTCCGGAGGCCCGCAGTCTGGCCCTCCAATGGTCTGAGGGACAGTGAACTGGCCCCTTGTTTAAAAAGTTTGAGGACCCCTGGTATTTACAGTGGAGCACTATTGGCTAATGGTCCTGGCAGGTCAGGCAGATAAGGAATCAAATGCCACCCACTTAGACTCCTTGTCACATTCACTCCAGAGAACATGAGCTCCGCATGTCTCTGCAGCCAGCTCCAGGAAAGAATTACTGACCATAGAGATGATGCAGAGATAAGGCTTCCTCTGAAATCACTCTGTTCACTTCCCCCTTCTACTTCACCTTTTTCTTGAAGTTTCTAAAGGCTCAGATAATTTGGAAGTTTGTGGGTAAGGATACAGCTCAGTTTCAACCTGAAACCATGTAGATTGGTGTCACCTTGGGCACAATTTTTATAAGTTACTTTAAGTTATAGGCCAGCACCTGTTCCAATAACCAGATGAACCATTTAGGGATGTATTCCTGGTTCTCAGCAAGCATCTGGAAAACATTCCCCTCAGCATCAAGTGTGGAATCTTGTCACATTCCACAGCTAGCACAAACATGATTATCCTTAACGGTAGTTCTGTCAAGGCATGCGCAGCTCAGTGCAGGGGTGTGTCGTGACCTGTTGAACTTTTCCCTTGACCCTAACATGCCTTCGTGTGCATAGAGGGAGAAGCTGCTCCGAAGGCACTCTGCTTGTGTCATACGCGATGCTGGAGAGGAGGAGGAGAGCTGCCAGTCAGCCAGGAAGCATCGGGTCACCGTGGACTTTTCCCTTTTAACAGTCCCGCCTCTGCCAGAGGAAACCTTGCACGCTGCACCTCCCCTTCCCCTTCCAGAAGTACTGACTTCTCCTAGTGCCTCCAGGCAAAGGGGCAGGCGAGGTGATCTTCCGTACCAGTCTTGCCACTCACTGCACCTGTGTTCTTTTTTAAATAAAAATATTTGCATTTCTTATTCATTAACCCTATATTTTTCAATTGGCCAACAAGACTTTGAATGAAACATCCTTTTTACTGATCATTTTTCTTTGATAATTTGGCAAAAAAAATTCCTGATTTAACTTGGAAACTTAACTTGGGGGGACGGGGGGTTAAATCTCCTGTGTTTGTAATCCTGAGGTGTGAGATTCTTGTTTTATTTATTTATCTTTTTATGTGCTGCCTAGTGGCAAAACTGCCCTCCCCTTTGCCCCAAGCTTTCTGGCGTTTGCAGTGTTGTCGAGCTCAGCTAGTGACGGCATGGCCTCATCAGTTTAGAGTCTTTGGTGATGCTGTGTGGAGGTGTCCTTGCTTGTTCCTGTCAAGCACGTGCCCCTTCTGTCCCCCAGCGAAGCGCACTTGGAGGCTGATACACAGCAGCACCACAGGCTTTACTTGCTGTTTAGCCACTGCCCTTTCCCTGAAGAGATGGTTGGTTGTGTGGTATCCTCTGAGTCGTCTTTTTTGTGTTTGATCTTAGCATACATACTTTTTTGCATGAGGTTTTACTTGGCACTCAGCATAACTGAAACTATGGTTATCCAGTGTGAAAGGTTTGTGCCTCCCAGCTTGTCCCCTGGTAGGGTATGCAGAGGGGACAAGCCAGAGCCTCTGTGGAGAGGCCTCCGTGTATGTTACATTCAGGTGGAGGTGTGCCTGGAGGTTAGCTGTCAGCAAACCACCTTCCAATTTGCGTGATCTGACTCAATTCGAAGAATCTTTCTCTTCCAAGGTAGAAAAGGGAAACAAAACAATTTTTTCCACTAAGGAAATAGAAAGATCACCTGTATTTCCTTTTCAGCATCAACAAAGTAGCACTTTGGGAAATTCTGTGGTTCGCTGTGACAAACTTGACCAGTCTGAAATTAAGAGCCTGCTGATGTGTTTCCTCTACATCTTAAAAAGCATGTCTGATGGTAGGTAAAAAAATGAAGATTTCTGTTTTGCTTTCCTTGTTCTGGTATTTGGTTTATTTTTTTTAATTATATTGATCCCAAGATTTTAAAGGATTTTCTTCCTTGTTTGAAATGCATACTAATTTACTAAATAGAAATAAGAGTCAAGTAAGAGACTCATTGTGGAAATAGTTTTGTTAATTATTTTATTCTAGAAAACAAATTCTAATATGTGAACAGGCCTTTTTTTTCATTTGTATTAAACTCTGACCTTCTGTCTTAAGGAGATAGAAGTGTGTTAATGAAGTAGCTTTTGATTTTTTTAAAAAAATCCATTTGCCCAACACACTGACAGGCAACTTGCTTAACTGTATTTGTCAGTCTCTGGAATTAGGAAATATACAGGGTGTCCATAAAGTTTGTGTGCAGATTTACACTGTTAAACTATTTTAAACTGCACACAAACTTTATGTCTACCCTGTATTATTAGAGATCCGTGCATTTCTTTTGTTTAGAGTGTGCACGACAGTCCTGCATTAACTTCCATTTTCTGATGGGAGTGGTGGTATCATGGTATCGTATTGCTCATTAAGGGTTTGACAACCACGTTTTTTACTGGGAGTGAGCAGAACTATGAATGCTCTGTCTGGACCATTTAGGGCTTTTGGAGATGTCAGTTTCAGTCTGTCAGCTCATCTTTGCGACGTAGCCAGTCCCGTGGTATATGTCACAGTTCTTGGTCAAATATCTTATCTCATTTTCCCTACAACAAAGTTGAAGGTGTGCTGTGAGCTTCATTAAGGTGATTGAATTAAGATGAATTTTGAAAACAAAATGCCACGTTTGGGAACTGTAAGGCCTCTCATGCTGCCTGTACTAGTGGCAGTAGGTGTATGTTAAACCTCCAATGGAAGGTCTTTCTGCTGGGAAATTGTGTCTGTTTTATATCAAACTTCATTTTAGCAGCATCAGCAGCCTGACTCAGGTGGTAGGAATTTCCTACTTATCCTTTAAGTGCTTAAGGACTGGGTGATTTTACTTTTCTATTAATGTATTAAAAAAGATGTTTAAAAAAAGACATCCAGACAAGATTATCCTTGAATGATGACCAAATGCAAAAGCACAGGGCAATTATTCTGATAATTTGGGTTATTAAGTTGAAATGCTTCCCATTTAAGCCAAAAGTTCTAAATTTTGCTTCTTGGTAAGGAATTTTAACCAGGATTATAATTCTGTTTTTTCTTTTTTCTTTTTTTTTTTTTTTGGCAGGGGCTGGGTTTGAACCCGCTATCTCCACCATATGGGGCTGGTGCCCTACTCCTTTGAGCCACAGGCGCCGCCCCTGTTTTATCTGTTTTTTAAGTTTTCTTACAAATATTTTAAATTTCAAATATTGAATATGATTAATATAACGTAACTGCTTTTTGAAGACATATATATAAGAAATTTTGAAGCCAAGTGAGAGTTATTCTAGTTAGCCCTTTGGAAAGTCATACACATATTTTAAACATGCAATTGCCCCTTCAAAATACCTCTTTTTTTTCCCTCCAAGTTGCCTTCAAGTTATCAATTTTTTTCTTTAGAATTAGAACTTTTGTAAATGTGTATCCCATTTAAGAAATCTCCTCTCCCCAAGTTCATGAAGATATTCTCCTATATTTTTTATAAAAGCAGCATTATTTAAGTTTTCATATTTAAATCTAAAAATCTATCTAGAATTGATTTTTATGTGTGGTAGCAAGTGGGGAGAAATTGCCTCAGGCATAGTTACTGCATAAACAACCGGAAATAGGTGTATAGCCTTAGCCCCTCTGTCCTCCCATTTATACCATATTTAAGGAGTGTCTGCCCCCCCCCCCCAACACACACAGGGCCCTTCCTCTCTCTGGCCATCCTGTGTCTCCTGCCTTTTTACAGAGCTTAGGTCTGTCTTTCCATTCTCCTTGGCCAGCAACCTGAGCGTTCTACCCCTGCGTGCTGGGGTGGCTGCAAGTACCCGCATGAGGATCCCACCAGGCTCCCCTGTGTTTACTTGGCTCCCTGCATGCTCCTCTTTCCAGATTGAAACAGCCTCAAGTAGCCAGTCAGTTCCTCTGGAATCTAAACTCAGAGTCCCTCAAAGATGGAAACTTCCTGACCCATTAGTGTTACTGGTCTAACAGGACAAAAATGGCCTCTAGAATCAGATGCACTCCATTCAAACTCCCGTGCATCCTTGCTGCTTTAGGCTGTACATGGGGAATTACCTACCTTCTCTGAGCCTCCATCACCGTCTGCCTTGAATTATGATGAGCATTAGGTGGCACACTCTATGTGGAATCATGCCAGCACCTAGCACAGTGCCTGGCACATAACAAATTCTCAGTATATGGCCCATGTCAGCCCTACTTGTCCTTGTTCTTGACAAGTGTAGAGTGAAAGGCTATGGCCATGCATCTGCACAGACCATCAGCATCTTTGTAGCCACTCTGTCTAGTCATCTCAGGCGCCAATGTCGGGTCCCTTTGTGGATGCCGCTTATCAGGGCCTGAGACTGATTGGTCTCTAGCCCCAGCCTATCTAGCTGGTGACCACTGCTGTGCTGTTATCTCAGGAACAATTGCTCTTAGGTGCCTGAGGGCTATTTACTTTAGCAGAAGAGTGAGTCTTTGAGAGAGTAAGCAGTCTTCTTAGAAAGACAGATCTTAGTCTTTAGCAGAGCTTAGTGATCTTCAGCAGACGGACACTGTGCTGTTCTGCAGGCAGGAGAAGTGACAGAGTCAGTGTAAGTGGATCCGTGATAGAATGCGCAGGCACCCGACTGTCTTTTCCTCCAGCCTAATATAAGGCTGATCTCGTGCCTCTCAACACCACAGGTGTAGAGACTATCAATTCACCAATCCTGTCATCTTGCGAGCTCTCTCATGCTTGTTAGGAGAGCTAAATCCCTCTCCATGGCCTTTTCACCAAGGTGTTCCATTATTGAGCTATACAGATGTTTCTTATAACTCTCACTCCTCCTAGCCATACGCTATATGGGCTGCTACACTAAAAGAATCAGTGGCTTTTTCTCAAGAGAGAAGCTGCTTAACCTACTTCTCAACCTCAGTGTAAAATGTAGGAATGCAAAGAGGGTTAACTACCAAATGATAGGAACTCTTTGTGTAATACAACTGTTAAGGGTCTGTATATAAAAATTCACGCCTGTAGTCCCAGCTACTTGGGATGCTGAGGCAAGAGAATCGCCTAGGCCCAAGGAGTTGGAGGTTGCTATGAGCTGTGATTTCATTGCACTCCATTGAGGGTTAATAAGTGAAACTCTGTCTCAAAAAAAAAAAAAAATTTAAACACACATCCCCTTTGATACAGCTGTTGATATTTCATTTCAAAGAATTTGTCTTACCGATTAGTTAGACATACATGCAAAAACGCACATAAAAGGATGTTCATTGAAATATATCATGATACGAGAAAACTAGGGAGGGGGAGACAGTAAATGTCTGTCAGTAGGGGACTGGTTAACTCAATTATGGGTTATCCATAGAGAGGAATATTATGCAGCTTAGAGAAGTTTGAGATAGATTCAAGCTGTGTTTTTCAGTTAAAACTCAAAGGGAAAAATAGTTTAGTATGCAAAAAATTTCAACAAATTCCCTGCTGGGAAGAAATTCTGTACTAGGAAACAAGAGTATCCAGCTTTATTATACATATGTGCCTACTTAAATTTTTTAATTTTCTAGTCTGTGTAAGAGCACATGATATATAAGTTTTAAATAAGCATTGGAGTAGAATATAGCACTGGATGATGTATGATGAAATAAAAGTTCAGGTGTTCAAATGGAGCATCTGTAAATTGAATAAACCTTCGTGTATATTATCCCGTGTAGATTAGTCACTGTGGTTGATCCATTGGTCAGCTATAAATGGGAGCGGGAGCAGGCTTGGGAGACCCACGTTCCAAGTTCTCCTTCCAGTTTTGTAATTGGTGATCCTCTGTAACGTACGTGATAGGTATATATTATGATTTTGACCAAATAAATATTTATTTTCTAGATGCTTTGTTTACGTATTGGAACAAGGCTTCAACATCTGAACTTATGGATTTTTTCACAATATCTGAGTGAGTAGTTTTGTCTTTGCTCATTGGATTTTGATTTTTCCTGAGTAATTAAGAGGTGTGATGAATACTCTACATGTAGTTAAACAGGAAGGTCATGTATGTCACATCCTCACGCGTTAAGCCTATTCTCCTGGACCTGACCCCAGCGTATATTTTTTGAGTTTATGACCTAGCGAACAGTGCCCAGCCTTAAATTATTACTGATTTGTGATTGTTGTAGATGAGAGGTAAATACTATATGTGTATAAGCATTTTAACAAAGTAACTCAAAATTATTAGTTGAATTAGGTAGATACTACTTTTTTAAGTTGAATGTAATTTAGGCAGATGCAGAAACTGAGACAAAATTGCTATAATTTTAAAACATGATAAGAATTAAAAGTGAAATCTTATATAGTATCTTTATTTCATTTTATCTCTTTAGTATAAGTTTCTGATTCCCTTTAAGTTCTTTACTTTTGTAAATATGAATCAATAATATCATATCCAAACTGTTGGGCAAGATGGTTTTCTAAATTCTGAAATTTTTGGATTTCTTAAAAATTTGCATTTTAGAATATATCCCATAACATCCCATCAACATCTCAGGTAGCACACAACAGTTAAATACATTATTTCTGCAGTAAAAAAAACCTTCTGCAATACCGTTATTGTTCACAATAATTGGATAAATCATAACTATAAATATCTTTATGTCTGTTAGTTTGGGACATGATTTAGTGCCAAATTAATTTGCATGAACCTAGGTGGAAAGTTGGGTTTGGGGGCTTTGTGTCTGTCTAGCAGGGGGTGTGGTTAAAAGTCTTAGATCACAGTTTCATGACCAATTCTGAGTTAAAGGGGGTATTATCTTGCGGTGAAAAGAGACTCCACATCAAAGACACTCACTAGACATTGTTTCATCTACCCAAGTAAATAAATTGATATTGTAGATATATGTATTTTTTTAAAAAACAAACAAACAAAAAATAGACACTTGGGGCCTATAGGGGATGGGTCTATACACGTGCCAAAAAAGAGCTCTTTGTATAGGTTTGAAGGAGGGTTAAATAAGCAACTTGGAACAGCATGTATGGTTTTCATTGTGATTTCTAAGGCAAACTGCCTTGGAGTAAATCTCCCAACCCCAAGCCGAGGGATGGTCCTGTCACTCAGGAGCCTTTGTTCTGTGTTGTTCTAGCCACCGCAGTACTGACACACGTACAATAAAGGGCTTCCCTTCCAGGTGAATAATTTTATCTGAGTTCAAAGGGAACATCTAGAGAACTTATGAAACCCAGAATTAAAGGTCTATTGGTAGACATAAATGTTTATTGCATTTTTTATTTTTGGAAATAAAACAATTTTTTCTGTATTGTTTCCCTGATAATTTTTTATCCTGCCTGCAGAGTCTGCTTGCACCAGTTCCAGTACATGGGGAAGCGCTACATAGCCAGGTACTGTGGGCATTTGAGTTTGAAGCGTGTCGTTTTCTGTATTCCTTGGGTCTACTGTGTGGGACGGTCATCTGTGGTGACTGGCAGTGGGGTTCATGTGAGCAGCCATGGAGACGGCTTTGGATTGCCACCGTGGGATCTGCTAGTGACTTTCATCTGCATTCCTGCCTTCCTCTATCTTATTTCATCTTGTGCATATCTCTTGGAAAGACTTTCTGTGGTGGCCTGTTGTGACTCTTCTTCCCTACCTTCCAGATGTGCCCTCTGCTCTGCTCTGTCTCCTCTCCTTTCTCTTCTCCCTGTTCTGTTCCTCTTTGAGTGTTTCTCCTTCCTCGGTGATTCCTTTCCTCCATTTCACTTTGAGAGATCATTCTTATTTTTCCTGCTCCCAACTAAAAGGACGTTAATTTCTCGCCTTACCACTCTCCATCTTCCCTAGTAAAACAATGTCTTCAGTCCATCTGGCATCTCACTAACATGGAGCCTTTCCTCCTCCTATGCTGGCTAACCACTGCGTGCCCTGTGTTCTTACCTGACCAGAACTCTTTGTGGAGTGTCACACCTCCCGTACTTTCCTGTTCTGGAGTCCCAGGAGAGCTACAGCTTCCCTGCTGGTGTGTGTCGTGTCCAGACAGCTCTTCTGTAGAGGGTGTTTCCTTACAGCACATTTTGTCTTACCAAGTTCTTCCTCCTGCCCCACAGCCATTTCGTCTATCTATATTTGGGTTGCCCTGCACTGTCAGCCATTTTCTGGTGGTGTCTTTATGGGGTCTTGGTCTAAGTATTATATTTTTCTACTCTTCTTCTTAAGAGCTGAATTGTAAGTAAACTTATATTTATGTTTTAAGAAAAGCTTTAAAATTGAATTCTAGTTGGGGTTTGTTTCTCTTATCTATAATTTTTTATTACATCAATAAAATAGGACAGATTTTTTTAATATAGTTTCTATTTGAACATGAAGATTTTATGTTAACATTGTTCTTTTCTGGGGATATATGATAGATTTTTAGAAGTATGTTTTATGTTAGAAATAAAAGAATGTTTCTTCAAAAAGAAGCAAATTAGAATATTTTATGCTTTCCTCATGTTAATATTCTCTATTTTTAATTGAAATATGGTAACACTTAAAGTTCTCTTATTTTAACTTTTATTTTTTATCAGTTTTCATATTTGAGTTTATGAGTGCCAAATGCAAGTATATACAAGGTGTCTTTATACCAGCAACATCTCACATTGCCTTTTAAGATGTCTCTTTGATTTTGTCCTACAGATATGCGCACACAGTATATTTTGCTACAGAAAGATACTCTGCTGAGCCAGCTTCACGCTTTTTGCAATTACTGTCACCTACCTCACAAGGTGGCATTTGGAGAATGTTGTGCCAAGTACAATAAAACACCTCAGAGCTTAAAATGGTGAATGTGGGAAGCTGAAGATTTCTGTCCTGACAAAATATTTTAGAACTGGGTTTTGTGAAGTAGTTAACTTATTTTTTCAGGGGATATAAATTTAACTTTTTAAAAGAAAATCTTTTGACTTCATAAGCACCCTGTATATATTTGCATATATAATCGTGGATTGCCTTAAAAATAGAAGGGCAGAGAAAGACAGGCATGGAGATGGCGTTACTTTGTCCTGTGTTGTGTGGAAAGATATGCCCTGCTTTATACAGAAGTTGCCATAGTCTGTGCTGCATGTCAAAAAGACACTGAACTATACTTTGAACATTGCCGATGTTTGCCATCCCTGGTGGTTGGGTTTCATGAACACTGTGCCTTCTCGTCCTCACTGAGATCACCCAGCAGCATGCTGTCAGTGAAAGTTCATGCATGTCCCTGTTGTCCTACACACAATAACATGATGAGGGGAATGGTTGGCTCTGGGACTGGGGACAGGTGTCACTCCAGCACTAGTCTCGTTTCATCTGCTCTGGTGATGGTACACAGTAGGAAGTTAGCTGTTTGATTGCTAACCCAGGTCACTTTTCTGTTTTCTCTACTTCACTGCTGACAAGTTTAACAAAGTGTGTGGCTCTTCTTCTTCCCGCTTGGGTAAGAATAAAGGTGTCAAACTGCCTCATATAACCCCTCCCATTGCATGTTTGTTCTCTGTTTCTTCCAGTGCATTTTGCAATTAAAAAAAATTTTTTTTTCTTTTAGAACATATCTAAAAAGATTAGGGATGTTCTGACAGTTGTCACAACCCTAACTTTTGGCGCTATGTTGGAAGAGTGATGCTCACTTTCTTAAAAGTAGCATCTCTAGAGTTCTTTACAAACATGAAAAAGGTCTCTGCTTTGGCCTGATTTTTGCTTCCAGGCTGTCAGGTGCTTTGCTGTGAACATTTTAAGAGCTGCCGCCTGATTGTGTTTCTGACTGCTCCTCTAGCTCCATCAGTGTGTGGCCATCTCCCTCGTGCCATATTGTGGCTTCACTAACGCTCCCTGTCTCGCTGCAGTGTAACACGTCTAACTTTGCTTCTATCCCATTTCACTCATGTTGCAGGAACCAGGAGGGGTTGGGACCCATAGTTCATGATCGAAAATCTCAGACATTGCCTGTTTCCCGTAACAGAACAGGAATGATGCATGCCAGATTGCAGCAGCTGGGCAGCCTGGATAACTCTCTCACTTTTAACCACAGTAAGTCCCATGACATACCATCGTAACAGCAGCCATCTCATGTGCCATCTCAGAGGGGAGAGCCCCAGGCCACACCATGCCACATCAACAACTCAATTTTTCTTCCAGCTCAAAGCAAGTAGGATGAAGAGCTCATGGCACAGTTTCTGTCCTTGGAGGACAGTCCCCAGGCTTTGGGAGTGACACAATGTGGAACATGCTCAACTACGGCACCAAACCTAAACATGCTAGACCCTTGGCCCTGGTCTCAAAACAAAATTTGGCAGGTTCAATAGCCAGACATTGTCCAGTATTTTAAACATAATGTTTGGATTTATTGCTTATAGCCGACATATCATTGGTTTTGCCCTGCAACTCCTGTGACTATCTGGGACAGATTTTTCTCACTGTCCTGATACTGTGCATGTAATTGATCAAGTGTCCACATTATGACATTCCAGCTCGGGATGGATGTTAATCCTTCACTGCTGTGAAAACATAAAGCCCGTGAATCAATTTATAAGGGTGTGGAAAAGCGTCCAATAACAAAGTGACTTTTTCTGTGTTTTCAGTGTGAGAAAGATATCAAGTGTGCTTGGAATTTCTGTAGACAATGGTAAGACTTAATCAGGTTGAAGTCTGCTTACGAGGGCGCTTCACTTGCAAGCCAAGACCTTTTTGTTCATCTTGCCTTCCTAACTTTGGGGCTTTCTAACTTCATAATAGAGATTTCTTCCAAAATATAGGAGCGTATTTTTAATTTACTTTTACCAATTTACTTTTACCAATCACCAGAGGGGACACGCCATTGTGTGCTGTTGCTAGGAATTTAAGTATTTTATTTTCTTAAGGGTTCCTCAAAGCAGAAAACCTAAAAGATACCAACCATGCATGGTCAGGAGTAGTAGCTCATACCTGTAATCCTAGCTCGTTGGGAGGCCAAGGCAGGAGGTTCAAAGCTTGAGACCAGTCTGAGCACCACAGCAAGACTCCACCTCTACAAAAAAATTTTAAAAATTAGCCAGGCATGGTAGTGCATGCTCGTGGTCCCAGCTGGAGACTGAGATGGGAGGATCACTTGAGCCCAGGAGCTTGAGACTGCAGTGAGCTATGATGATGCCACCACTGCACTCTAGCCTGGGCAACAGCCCTGTCAAAAAAAAAAAACAAAAAAAACCATGCATAACATGAAAAAAATTGTGTAATTGTTTATAACACATCCCATTTTTGTTGGTTCTTTTAGTGTAGTGTCCTCTGAACTGTTCCATCTCCCCTGCAAGCATGACATAGCAAGCTAGTTTCATCTAGATAATTACTTGTTCTTATTCCAAGTGCTGTCTTTATTACATGGTTATTAATGTTATCCCACCATTTCTAATCATAAGAATTCCATTCATTGTGACTTTTCAGACCTCTTTTTTGATACGGGCTAAGAGGAAAAGCAATATTCCCAACACCTTGTGTTGATGACAGTTCAAAGTAAAATGACTGGGGAACCAAAACATAGCAGCTTCCTACCCCACCCCCAGCAAGGTTAGATATAATAAGTCTCTATAAAGTTTGAGGCCTAATTTTAATAATATTATGTCAGTATACTACCCACTGAATTGGTAGCCATAAAATGCTACATCTGAGTTCTATACTTACCTATAGAATGCACATTTGATGGCGTTTAAGGCTAAAATACTTGATTTTTTGACATCTTGTCTGTTGGAGCTTTTTGTAGCCCTGTAGACAAGGAGTTGAAACAAACAATAGGAGTTTTATCATTTTTAGTTTTCATTTTCTGCTTAGCAAAGAAATTCAGTCCCCAGGGATGCGCAAAAACTGCTGGATTCCCTTTGCTCAGATAATTTATATAACACAGAGACTAACTCCCTATATTATAATTTTTAAAAAATATATCAGCATGCCAAGTCCCTTCCTCTAAAGATAATGGTTTAGGGACGTCAGAAAACAAATATTAAATGAATTACATGTAAATAAGTAACCGTAACCCCTCAGATATGCAGCGCTCCTCCCACTGCATGTGGGTTTGTATGGCGGCTTGAGTGGGAGGAGGGAGGCAGCTGGCTCCTGCTGCTGCCAAAGCCCTGTTCACAGGGCTGGTCTCCATTCTCCCGGCTGCCCACAGAGAGCCCTGTCCTCCTGCCATCTCATTTAGCCTGGCATTTGCTGCCATCGTTTGTCAGTGGCACACTATCCTCAGTCTTGTGTCCTTCTGTGCCAGTAAACAGTTTGTAGCCTTCACCTGTGTTCCTGCATCCGCATTATCTCTGGAGTCATCGCATCTCCTCCTAGCACTCAGTTTCCATCTGTTAATGCATCTTTAATTCTCACTGTGTTCCAGTGACTGCATCCTCTCCCTCTGCTAGCTCTTTGAGTTCCAAATCCTCCACTCAGCCAAAACAGCAAAGAGAAGGGGTGTGCATTGTAGGTATACATGTGTGTGAACATGTATATGCGTGTGTACATACATGTTGGCGTACATCTGTACTTAGGTATTTTATGGGAAATTTGTGGCCATATAAGTTTCTAAAAAATCCTATTTAACAATGAATATAATACCTTCTGTTGGGCCAACCAATATGATGTATGTTATATGTGAGAGACTTGCCGAGAATACCCAGAGTCTAACATAGATTTCAGAAATCAATCTAAGTAGCAAGAGACCTCTGTGCCTCACTTCCTCTGAGTAGGAAAGGCTTTGTCAACCTCAGGTTGACCAGCAGGGAGCAGCAGAACACCAAAAAACACAGAGTGCATTATAGGTCTGGCTGTGTCGCCCCATCCTCACACTGTCCCCACCACCTACTCATGGACATCAAGACATGGGAAGAGGCACCACGTGTGCTATACGTGTAACTCTAGCCAGGACTTTCCTTTATTCTTTAATCTTGCTAGGAAATAATGAAAATAGTTAATCTTGCTGTGGCCACATCGTCTTAGCTATCTGCAAAACACTCTTAAAGGATGGGTTATTTAGGCATTGACCTCCTTCATTTAACTTGCATGCGTTGTGTGTCAATAGAAGAAATTGGTGTCAGATGAGAAACTGAGAGTGATAGTTATATAGAGATTATTTTAAATAATAAAATAATTTTCCTCCACTATGGGAAGAAAATCAAAAGTGATAGCTACACGTGAAATACATACATAAACCACATCGTGGGGGAAAACTGTGAAGCATTTGCAAAACTATATAAAATAACACTTCATATTTACTTTGATGGTATGTTGTGTTCTAGGACTATATTAAGTTTATTTACATGATAATTCATAATTGGCGGAAAGCCGACCAAGGGGTAGAAACCTGTGAAGAAAACCTATATAATCTATATAACCTATATAATCTATAAACCTATATAATCTAAGAGGCAGCTAAGGTCATGGGGTTAAGTTGGTGAGAATTAGTTTGGGGACCAGGACTGGAAAGCATTTTCTGATGGAATTGCCCATGGTGGCAGGTGCTAAGATACCTGTGAGGTCCAGGTGGGTGTCTGCAGCTGGGGATGTGAAAACAGACTGCGTGAGTGTCCCAGTCACGGTCACTTAAACATCTGACAAAGAATTAAAAGACGTGGCTTGTGAACCTTCATTTAACACTGATAGTCTGAAGCACAAGTAAGAAAATGAACATAGGTGATCATTATTACCTTTACTGTACCTAATATCAAATTAATAAGAAAAATACAGAGAATGTATAGATCTTTAAGTTAAAGTTAATATTTTCCAAGTTCCTAAGCATATGTAATAAATGTTTACAACTGGATAAAATGTTCTTGGATGCTTTAAAAATATAGGCTTATTAATGTACATAGTTACCATTCAATAAAAAATAAAAATAAATAAATAAATAAAAATATAGGCTTAAAATAGTAAATGAAGGCTCGGCGCCTGTGGCTCAAGTGGCTAAGGTGCCAGCCACATACACCTAAGGTGGCAGGTTCATATCTAGCCCGGGCCCGCCAAAAAACAACAATGACAGCTGCAACCAAAAAAAATAGCCGGGCGTTGTGGCGGGCGCCTGTGGTCCCAGCTACTTGGGAGGCTGAGGCAGGAGACTCGCTTGAGCCCAGGAGTTGGAGGTTGCTGTGAGCTGTGATGTCATGGCACTCTACCCAGGGGGATAGCCTGAGGCTCTGTCTCAAAAAAAAAAAAAATAGTAAATGAAATGTGTGTTTGTAAACCTGTGTCTCCTTGATTCTGGGGCTTACTGCACATTTTCTAATATTGTTAATATCTGGGTTATCATACATGTGTATTATATCTAATATTGCAGTCTGTCTTTGGTGCTTCTTGCAATTGATAGAGTCTTAGACTGGAGGAGGTCCAGCATGTGCACATTTGGAGTCAGTAATGTATAATGTCCTTAAAGAGGGCTTTAATTTAAAACGTGAGGTGTGCTTAAACCACATGTGTTCATAGATTTGGGTCTGCACTTTCTAGGGTGCAATTTGATGTGAGGGTGAGAATCTGCACAGGGAAGAGAGCACCAAGGACAGTGTGACGGTCGCTTCCTCAAGTACAGACTCTTACATCGTAGACTGTGTTCACAAGTCACTTTGAGCAAATTTGTTTTCTTAGTGTGTGAACCAGAGGGCAGAGGACAAGTTATATAATTTTGCCTCAGAATAATACTTCTTATTCTACTCTCTATTCCTTGCCCATCTGTGAAGAAAATGTTTTTAAGCAATAAAAGAGGGATGGAAATGAACAGTAGCTGTTGACCAGTCTGACATTTTACATAAATATTTGCACTCAGTAAAGCCATATACCATGAGTTAATACAGCTGGGAGACTAGAATTCAGGGAATTCTTTTACCAAGAAGATTCCTTATCTTTTAGTATTTATATTCTCACAGAACTTACAGTTTTTCTGGATTCAATTTATGGATCTGAAGTAAAAGGTCAAAATAAAAATAAGAAATTTGGTTTTATGAAGGGTGAAAATACCCATCAAAACAGATGTGGTCTCTGTGGGGATATGTGTGTGTGTGGCCCACTCTTCTGTCCCAAATGTCTTCTGACATTCAGAAAAGGCATGTGACCTGGATTGGGCTTCTATCCTCCCCACTGTGTTACCTCATGTCAAGGCAGTGGGAGAGAGGAAGAGTTTACAGATGTGGTCAGTGTCATTGAACTGAGCTCTTCCTGTAACATGAATTTATAAAACAGAGTAACATTAATTAAATCTAAACATACCAGATGACATAATGAAGGGGATCTTGTCTTTGGCCCAGGACTGTTTAAGAGGTTTGGGGGTTTTAGAATAAGTCTTTTCTCAGAGTGACAAGAGAGTGGAAATTGTGTAGAGTTGAGCAGTCAATCCAAGGGACTGGAATGTAGCTCAGAGCAGCTGTGCAGGAGACACATCTGTACAGAGTCCTGCCCCTCTGTCCCTGCCAGCAAGGGTGGAAGGCATCAGCGCCGGGCCCTGCCTCAGCCCCTGGTAGGGATCAGCACAGTCCATGTCATGCTTCCTGCTTGCTTGAGTCAAAGCTGTTTTAACCTGCCTTCTAAAAGTTGCTTTCCCTAAATTAAGACATTTCTGTGCCTCTTGAGAGCCCCTTCTTGGATCTCCTAGCTCAGTTCCCCCCCACCCACCCAATTGGTGGATAACATGGTGATTGTTGATTGTAGTCTTCTGCACTCAATTTGTTCCTGGCCTGGAGACACACAATCCCCAGTTCTTGTTATGGGGATGGCCTCTCTGTACTGCCATCTGTGCTTAGGGATTTTTAAAAATAACAGTAATTCAGGAATCCTGTTGATTTTTGAGATGAAACAGTTTAAGGAAAAGCAAAGTATAACAGATTGTGGCTAAAAGAACCATTTCTTTTAAATTCATTTGCAACCCAGCCAAAGGAGTTGCCTGACTCTTACTCTGAAGGAGATTAGACAGCTGGTGTGGTGGCTTGTGGGTGGTGTAATAGCTTAGAGAAATTTTGTCGTTACCACACTTCTACACATTTTTACATAATTATATAATTTAATTAGCACAGCTGATTGATTATATATATATATAAGCAACATACCGCCAAATTCTAATTTTTAATTGTTTGGGGCTTTCGGCCAGAAATAGGTGAATTTGGTGGGAATTCTTCAGGCTGTCTCATCTAGAAAGAGAAAAGGACAGCTCTGTGTAGAGAAAGAAACTGAAACCATCAAAGCAAGTTCCTTAAAATTTAACTCACTCTCAAACTCATTTGGGGCAAATGGTAGCCTTCAATAAGGGGTCCTTTTGACATATTTGATGATTTTGGTTGGTCTGATAACAGGTATTATATTTTTCCCCCTCTCACCACAGTTTGTGGTCTCTTTAAGAATAATCATCTGTTTTCCTCAATCTGCTTTCCTTTTTCATTGTCTCTGTATCTTACACATCTCACTGAGTAAAGTCAGGCCTTGGCTTATATGAAAGCAGTGCAATTAATATTAGTACCCCAGCATATCCAGCTTGCTTTTCCATGGGTGATTTCTTACTCAAAAAGCACAAATAAAAAGAAATAGAAGTAGCATGCTGCCAGGTGTGTTATAGACCCTCACCAAAGACACACTTGGGCAGGGCTGTGGGGTGGAAGTAATTCTATCCACAAACATGCCACCTCAGGTCCACTGTAGTAAAAGCCAAGCAAAGTTGGATAAAAATGTTGCTATTATATTTTTAAAAGCACTTTTGTAGCTTTAATGAGCATCACATATTTTGTAGCCCTTTAAAAAACGTTCTGTTTTTCTAACACTTAAATCAAAATGATGTCATGCTAGGTTATTGTTTCCCAATAATGTGTAATAATGACACAATGACATGGGTAAGGAATTCGGAGTATAGGGTTTTTGTTTTTTTTTTCCATTGCTGGTCTCAAAATTCCCTAGGTTTTCTTTACTTCATTTTCTTTATCTGTATACAAAATGTCCTCCTCTCTGGAGTGTTAAGTAGTAAGTGCTGATTTGTTTTTGCTCCTCAGAGAAAGACATTACATGGTGTTTTGTTAGATTGCCATCTTTTCTTGCAATCTAGATCAATACTGTAACATCTTTGCATTCCTGTATGTATTTCCGCTAATGCATACCATTTCATAACTTAATACTTCCAATTGTTTGTCAAACTGCATTTTATATCAATCCTAAATTGATTTTGTAGCCACATATAGAAGATTTCTATTTGTGCTTGAATTGTGTGTGATTAAATTTAAATGACAGGTTCTTCAAGTCCTTTCCTCTTCCTAAACATTTCTTTCAGACAAACTGGCTTTTATGCTTTTTATTAAAGCAAGTAGAATATTCTTAGCAGTGCAGTCAACTCTTGATTATCATTTATAATTCTAGCTGATGATACAGATCTTGATATTACTGACTTAGCTCTTTTCTAGCTATGGGCCAGGCACTATTCTAAGAACTTCACATATATTAATTATTTTAATTCTCACCATGAGCCTTTGAGATAGATACTGTTATTATCCTCTTTCTATAGATAAGCAAACCAGGGTATAAAGAGGCCAGATAACTTGCCCAAAGTCACATAGCTGGGATGTGCAGAGCTGTGTTTAGAGCCTAAGGCGGCGGACCTCAGGCTCATTTTCCTAATCCCACGCTAAGCGGGCAGTGTGCCCCTGCACAGGAAGCTTGGGGATCTCAGCCTCCCTGAGCACTCTTGCCAGGTTGTGGAATCGCTCCATGCCTGTCTTGCTGTGAATTCTGACTCCACTGTCTCCTACCTGTGTGACTTTAGACAAGTCCTTTAGCCTTTCTGTGCCTCTGTTTCCTTATCTGCAAAAAGGGTTTAATAATATACAGACCTGGCTCGGGGCCTGTAGCTCAAGTGGCTAAGGCCCCAGCCACATACACCAGAGCTGGCGGGTTTGAATCCAGCCCGGGCCTGCCAAACAACAATGACAACTACAGTCAAAAAATAGCTGGATGTTGTGGTAGGCACCTGTAGTCCCAGCTTCTTGGGAGGCTGAGGCAAGAGAATTGCTTAAGGCCAGGAGTTGGAGGTTGCTGTGAGCTTTGATGCCACGGCACTCTACCCAGGGTGACAGCTTGAGGCTCTGTCTCAAAAAATAAAAAAAATAATAATAACATACAGACCTTGTAGGACTTTTGAGGGATTAAATGAGATAATGTGTAAAGTTCTTAGAATTGTGGCTGGCACACACCAAGTTCAAGTGCATAATCAGTATTTGTTGTTGTTATTGCCCTTCCAAAGTTGAAAAAGAGTTATAGTTGGATGGAGACAGTAATACTCCTCTGTTGCTCCAACCCCTCAAAAGACAAACTAAAGTTGGTCTTCTGTAAATAATCAAAAGTTGACTGTGACCGTCCCGTCCTGCCTATCCTGCAGTGTGAGCCCAAGGGCATTAATGCTGTGTTGTGATTCACACAGGCTACGGCCACTTGGATGCAGATGTTCTTCACCAGTCACTGCTTGAAGCCAACATTGCCACTGAAGTTTGCCTTACGGCTCTGGACACTCTCTCTCTGTTTACATTGGCATTTAAGGTTAGTATTGAACAGCTGTTTGTGGTCAGAGTTCTACCTTTTAAATTCATTCTGCTTATTAAGCTCAACCAGCACAAAAACTTACTGGTTCAATGTGTTATATTTTTACTTCAGCAACTGTTTTGGGCCCTGTAAGGAAACCATTAATCCTTAAATTCCTTTAAAGAAATCATTCCATAGTGGATTACTTGGATACGATAAAGTTTGACCAGTCACTGTGTGCCCCATCTTTTGGAATGTTGAAAATGCAGTCTCTGCAGGCAGCTAACTCTTAGCTAGAACTTTGAGGATGATAAATATAAGAACCTAATCAGGCATTTCTGCTTTGAATATCTTTAAATATCTCCAAATGTTATAGCAATAAAAACTAGATACTTATTTAGAAAGGAGCAATAGATACCAACAGGTTTATCTGTTCAGATTTGTTTATCTGCTACTAAATTAAATGGTAAAAACCTTCGCAAAGATAGAAAATGAAGGGAGTTTTTTGTTCTTGTTGTAAAGTTTTAGTAAGTAATATTTGAGTAGGATGGAGGTGGACTTTTTAGCCATTCTCTTGCTTTTAGGAACCTAACACTTCCCATTCTTGCTATTGAGTACTCCCATTGCTAGTGTAGAAAGAGAGAATTGAAGTAATGTTAATATGCTGTTAATACTGAAACGGTTTGGGTATTTTGAAGGGTATTTGGAAAATGGAACCAAAGTCATTCTCAGCTTTACTTATCACCGCTACACATAAAATACATTTATTAGGAAGAATAAAAACAGTTTCCCTGATACTGTGTCACTTTATTTTAATGTATCTTTATTCTTCTTAGCCACCATCTTGCTCACATCCTCATAAAATGTAATTACTAGAAATGTAGGTGAGAGCTGAGGAAATACAAACCCTGAGAGAATGACTATGGGGTGAGAGTGGAGGAGAGCTGTGCCTTATTCAGCAGCAGCTCTGGAAGTGTGGTCTTCAGGCCAGCAGCAGCTGCAGCCCCTGGAACCTGTTAGAAATGAAAGTTCTTAGGCCCCATCCAGGCCTACTGGATCAGCAACAATCTGGGCGTGAGACCCGAACACTCCAGCTTAAGAACCACTATCTACTACAACTGTAAAGGAGCTTTTAGAAGCTGTATTTTCTTATGTATATTTGTAGTTAACAATTCTTATGTAAATAGGCAGTGAAGATTTTGAATGTGACTGTTTGGCCATGCACCCCTGTGTGAATACTAAACATAAATCCTTAAGTTCAGAACAGCAGTTGCAACACTGTCTTCCACCTTTGCCTGTGCCCCGGCCTTTAAGAGCAGGAAATTCTGGAGCTACAAAGCTGAGTGCAGTCTGGGTGGTGTACATGAGAACAGTGACAGTTTCCTTACTGAACAACCTGCAGTTCTTACCCAGACACTCTTAAAATTGCTTGCTTAACATTAAAGAAGAGTATTCCTCACGGCTCTCAGATCTCCAAATGTCTGGTCATTGGGTAGGTTCTGACTCCCAAAAAAGAAAGATCATCTGATGGCTTCTGAATCAAAGCTGATTGTGATGTTTATGGGCTGAATGTCTTTGGGAAGATTCCTTGATATCTACGGACTTAAGATTTCTCATCTGTAAGGTTAGAAAAAAAGGCACTACCTCACAGGGCTATTGTGAATGCTAAGTGAGATGACCCTGCTGATGGCCTTCCATGTGACTGGCAGATCCCAGGCCGCAGTGCCCTTGGAGACAGCGGGTGTGTGGAGATACCATGGTCTCTAAATCCCAGCTTCACCATTAGCCATCTTTTCAGCCTCATTTAGTTCTGATCTTCTTACCTAAAACACAGCAATTTCACCTACTCTATAAGATAGAAGTGCAGATGTGTTGATGCAAAGTATCCAAAAGCTATGCTACAGGACCGGAGCACAGTGGGAGCTCAGGTGTTAACTCCAGGTTACCAGGGAGCACTTCCTCCTGTGTTCGCTCCTTTTTGGCCTATTGCAGGCGTCCTCAAACTAAGTGGGCCACATGCAGCCCACCAAGGACATTTATCCGGCCCGCTAGGTGTTTTTGCCACTGCTTGTTCTGCTTAGCAGCCAACTCATCCCAGGGCCTGCAGTCCATCCCTCCAACAGTCTGAGGGACAGTGAACTGGCCCCCTGTTTAAAAAGTTTGAGGACCCCTGGCTTATGGTAAAGGGCCTGATCCTTGAAATACCCAGGGA